ACTAACCCTAACCCTAATCCTAATCCTGACACCAACACTAACCCTAATCCTGACACCAACACTAACCCTAACCCTAACTCTAATCCGGACACCAACACTAACCCTAATCCTGACACCAACACTAACCCTAACCCTAACTCTAATCCTGACACCAACCCTAACCCTAATCCTAATCCTGACACTAACCCTAATCCTGACACCAACACTAACCCTAACCCTAATCCTGACACCAACACTAACCCAAACTCCAACCCTGACACCAATACTAACCCAAACTCTAACCCTAAACCTAACCCTAATACACACAATTACCGCAATACTAATCACAACCCAACTCCTGACCTCCAGCCCCCCCCATGCTCGCTGTGACCCCGCGACCTCTGACTCACCTTGACCTTCGCGTCCATGCCGCACGACAGCAACAGGTGCGCGGTGTGAGGCAGCCAGCGGATCGCCGACAGCGCCCTCGTGTGGCCACTCCAGGTATGAACGAGTTTCTTCGGCATGTAGCACTTGTCGGGCGGGTCCTCCGACCTCAGGTTGACCCCGACGTCCTGCGGCGCGTGCAGGAACGAGCGACCCTGGTAGTCGAGCGCGTCCTTAACTGCAAAGGTCACAGCGAGGTCGCGGTTACGGGCATGGCGCGCGTGTACTTGTGCGTACTTACCCTTGTCGCAATAGCTATTACACATGTCGATATATATCGTGCACACGGTGCTTATTATATTTACATTTCATATTTATATATTTGTTTATTTTCACGTTTTTTTTTTTCGAAATTAACGAGAATCCGGAGTCAAATACTCCCTGATTTACTGTCAGACTCCCTGATTTGACATATATATGCAAGAGTCCGTGTGACTCCCTGAAAATTTTGCCATACTAACTCAGGGGTAGAAATTAACTTTTGAACAAAGGAGTCCAAAGGACTCCCTACCCTCAAAAAGAGGGAGCCCGCAGCAAAATGAGGGTTCAAAATTAAAGATATTAACAATAACGCATACATGTGCTTATTTTTAAGATTCATGCAGTTGCACGTCTGGCAAATTTTCTTTGGACATTAGCTGAAAAAAATACAGTAATTCCGCGAGGCCGTGTTCCCGCAGCAAAATGAGCGACTCCTGCATATGTTAAATCAGGGAGTCCGACAGTAAATCAGGAAGTATTTGACTCCGGACTCCCGTTAATTTCGCACCCTGCTAACTAGTTCGTTCCAGAGCATGGCCTCGCGGAATTATCGTATTTGTTCAGCAAATGTCCAAAGAAAATTTGACAGACGTCCAACCGCATGCATGCGTTATTAACTATCTTTAGTTTTGAACCTCAGACTGCGGACTCCCTTATTTTGCCGCGGACTCCCTCTTTTTGAGGGCTGGGAGTCCGTTGGACTCGCTTGTTCAAAAGTTAATTTCTACCCCTGGATAAGCAGCACGTAAGGAAGGTTCACTGAAATCGTAATCGTAGCAGGAAAACCATGCACTCGAACGAACGTGGGCAGATCGACAGATCGACAAATCGCCGGATCGACAGATCGCCGGATCGACAGATCGCCGGATCGACAGATCGACAGATCGCCGGATCGACAGATCGCCGGATCGACAGATCGCTGGATCGACAGATCGACGCGCAGACGAACACTCACTGTGCAGCGTTGACTTCTCCTCTACGGACTTCTCCGTTCCGCTCTTGCCCTTCTTCTGTCGCTTAGCAACGATCTCATCCAGCTCCTCCTGCTCCTCCTGTAGACAGAGAATGAGACAGAGATGATAAGCCGACGTAACCCACGGCAACGCAATGCGACAATGTGCCATCATGCAGTCATGTGAGAATGTGACATCATGCAGTCATGTGACAATGCGACAATGTGCCATCATGCAGTCATGTGACAATGTGACAATGTGACAATGTGACATCATGCAGTCATGTGACAATGTGACACCATGGGTCCATGACAATGTGACATCATGCAGGAATATGACAATGTGACATCATGCAGGAATATAACAATGTGACATTGTATAGTCATGTGACAATGTGACATTGTGACACTGAACCATTGCATAATCATGTGACACCGAGACAATGACACACTGTGCAGTCATGTGACAATGTAACAATGTGACACGAGGCTCTGCGTAATCATGTGACCTAGTCATAATTTCAATGTTATCTACAATCCTACCACTTACCACTAAGCCACATCACTACCCACATCCCTATGCCTACCCCTACCCCTACTGCTAACCCTACCCCTAACCCAACCCCTACCCATACCACTACCCACATCCCTAAGCCTACCCCTACCCCTACACCTACTGCTAAGCCTACCTCTAACCCTACCCCTAATGCTAAGCCTACCCCTACCACTACCTCTAACCCTACCCCTACTGCTAAGCCTACCTCTAACCCTACCCCTACTGCTAAGCCTACCTCTAACCCTACCCCTACTGCTAAGCCTACCCCAACCCCGTACCGCTAAGCCTAACCCTGAACAACAGCTGAGATCGCAGTACCTCGGTTGGTTTCATTGTTGTCTTCTCATCCGCGTACTTCGCCCAGGGTCCGAGGTAGCTGTCAATGTCGGAGGGGTCGCGAGCTGTCTCCTTCTTACGCTTGTCGCCTTCTCTCTTCATCTTACACTCAAACACCGTCGCACCTGGGCAGGTGAGAGACGGGGAGAGTGAGAGTCAGAGAGAGAGAGAGAGAGAGAGAGAGAGAGAGAGAGAGAGAGAGAGAGAGATAGAGAGAGAGCGAGAGAGAGC